TTGGCCTTCCTTCCAGCCATCACACCTCAGTGAAAGGAGTCACTGTTGAGGAGGTAATACGCTATTTTTCACAACCATTAGGCTGTAACTACTTGTTAGATCCTTCTTGTGTATCTCTGTCTTCCTGAGAAACCACATTGAAGATACCACCATGTATTATAGCAGCCATTGATATTTTCCTACTAATCTGTCCCTAACTCTGTAATGTTTGTATTGTTCCTATGCTATTTCGTAAATGGATGTATGCTTATTACTATGTGTTTCCTACAACAACCACTGAGAATAGTCAATGAATATTCAATTGGTCACTCATGTATAGCTCTATTTATTTTCTTTAGAAACCTCTTTGAAGATACCAAAGTACAGTACAACAACCATTGATAATAACCTACCACTTTTGTCTGTAACACACTATTATTTGTTTATTTGTTTTCCTGGGAAACTGTCTTGTAGATAACAATATGTGAAACAACAACCATTGATAATTTCCTACCACTTTGTCTGTAATTCGGTAAGCCCCCTATTACTATGTTATCCTTCTTTTACTCTTTAAAATAATAATAAAAAAAGAAACTGAAAGCAAAATTAAAAATTCCTCTTCATCAAATGACACCAATAAGAAAATGAACAGTAAAGGCAGAGACTTTTTAAAGGGAAAAATTATTCATAATATATGAAACTGCCAAAGACAAAGGACAAAACCTAGTGCAGAAAATTGACCAAAGACTTTAATAGACACTTCATAAAAGAATAGATGTGAAAGGCCTATAAGCACATAAAAAGATTCTCAACATTATTAATCATCAGAGAAATATAAACTATAACTGAAATGCAATAACAATTCACACCCACTAGAATGGCTGAAATTCAAAAGACTGACAGCATAAGTATTAGCAAGGATGTCGAGTAATGGAAAGTCTCACACAATGCTGGTAGGAATATAAGATGTTAAACTACTTTGGAAACTCTTTAGTAGATCCTCATAAAGTTAAACATTTTTTCACCTATGATCTAACAATTCGATTCCTAGGTATTTATTCAAGAAAGATGTAAGCATATTTACAGGAAGGGGCTCACATCACGACAGTCATTGCAAGGTGGATGTAGACGCACATGCATGTAATTCCAACAGTCTGGGCTGAGGCAAGACGAGCACAAGTTGAAGCTCAGCCTGAGAAACTTAGAGACTTAGAAAGACCTTATGTCAAAATATAATTTTTTTTAAACAAAATGGCTTGGATGTAGCTCAATTTGAAGTCCCTGGCTTCAATCTACAGTACCACCACCACACACTCATACACAAAGGAATAGCAATTGCCGTCTTGTCATCTCATTGTGAAATTCTGTATCATTTTTATTGTTTTTGAATTCTCTTTAAAATAAAAGAGAGGTGGAGAGCTAAAAAGTGCAGGAAAAATGGCTAATTGTCATAAATTAATCCAATGGGATATTGCTCACCAGTAAAGGAACTGACTACTGTTACATGGACCACCATGGATGAATCTCAAAAGCATGATGTTGAACCCGAACAAGTAGATATAAGAGGTTGTAATGTATTCAGTGTGATCAAAAATATGGAGAATGTTAAAAAGATTTATTATAGTAAAAGGCACACTGCTATCAGTGCCCTCAAAGTACTCACCCTCACTTCGAACATACTTATCTCATCATCCTTGACGCTTTCTGAAGCAGTTCTGGAAGTCCTCTTCCATGAGTATCTTTATCAGATGTAATAAAAAATGCAATGAATGCTGGTACTGAGTGCCATCTGATGGAAAGACAGGCTCATAAAACATGATAGTGTATCATACACCAAACACCATACACCATACACTATGGCTGTAACACATCTTTAGAAGCTTTAAGCATTCACTGTGTATTTTGATCACCCCTTGTGTGAGTCCATATATAAAGTTCAAGGACAGAAAAAACTAAGCCTGATAGTGCATGCCTGTAATCCTAGAATTCTAGGATACTGAGGCAGGAGGATTGCAAGTTCAAGCCCAGTCTGGGCAACTTAATAACTTAGTGAAAGCCTGGTTTAAAATTTAAAAAGGACTTGGGATATAGTTCAGTCCAAAGGTCCTAGGCTGAATACTCAATATCACACACACACACACACACACACACACACACACACACACACACAGGAAAAGAAAAGAAAGGAAAGGAAGGAGAGGGGAGAGAAAGAGAGAACATAAGTACAACTACTCTAGGATAGAAATCAGATTTCTGGGCTATCACTAGCAAAGGGTATGAATGAATTTTCTGGGGAATGGAACTGCTTAATGGCTTAACTGGAGTTACAGAGGGACATATAATTGTCTAAGCTTACTGAGTTAAAATCTTATATTTATGATTTTTTGTTATATATAAATTAAAACTCAATAATTTTTTTTATAAAATAAGGCCCCCAAACCTGAAACAACAGCATCAAGACTTCCAACTGTTGAGTTCATGTGATTAAACTGTTGTCTTGGATGATTAAATAGAAGTCTCAAATTAAGGGAGAAAATAAAATAAGGTCATGTGGTTGAGGGTGTCTGAGCATCAGACTAATTTAGGTGGGGTAATTAGCAAGACACACAGTGAGCCATGTAGTGTGGAAAGAATACGCCAACAGGGACAGCAAAGGCAAAGACTAAGATGGAAGTGAGTGCGGCATGTGCCTGGAACTTAGTGAGCTACGAGAAGTGGTGAGAGATGATACCAAAGGGGGAGGGGTGGATCATGGGGGTTAGGCAAACCATGATGGGAAGCTACTGAAGGAAAACCCTTCCAGGTGTATAGTACGGTGATATACTTTCTGCTATAAAGGATCACTCTGACTGCTCTGTGAAGAATAGATTGGGGATTTAGAGGATTGGAAGACAAGAAGCAGTAGCCAGTCAGGAAGTGTTGGTTATTCCCCTTCCCCTTTTAACCTCTTCTCCTGTTATATTCTCTGCCTTTCTGTGACCCTGAAGGCTGGCCACTCTAGACAGCATCTCCAAAGCTCCTCTGCTGACCCGTTTCTGGTTGAACGTAGTCAGTGGAAGCACCCGCAGGGGATCAAAAAGTGGTAGAAGAATGGTCAGGGTACGCACATTACCACTCCCTGCTAAGCTGTTTCCTACTTTCCTTGACCAGGTCCTGGCTGTGACTGTGTTGCTGCACCTACAGCTCTTGTCACTTATTCCTGGGGATCTTCTGATTGTTTTTCTAGCCCTATCCACGCTTTGGTTAGTAACTGCACCGTTAACATCTCCTTGGTCAATCTATTTGGAATATGCCGTCTGTTTCCTACTAGTCCCCTGATGGTATATGTGGCTACTTCAGGCATAAGGATGATGATGGCTTGGAATACAGTGGCAATGTTGGAGGTAGTTCAAAAAGGGTAATTTTGAAATAGATTTTAGAGATGGAAGCCATAGGATATCCTTACGGTTTGGAGGAGGAGGAGGAGGAGAAAGAGAAATGGAGACCAATCCTTGGAACATGGATACAAGTGATTGGTAGCGCTGTTCGCTGAGGCCAGAGTTCTGAGGAAGACGGAGGTTTGTAGGGGTGCAGATAGGAGAAATGCAGAATTTATTGTCAGCCAGGAGAACTTGAGACATCCAAATGGGATGTCATGCAGGCATATAACATAGCAGCCTGGAGCTCAGTAGAGAAGTTTGACTAAATAGAAACTTGGGAGGATCAGTATATCCTAGAATTTAAAGCCATGGAGCAGGATGAGACCAATTAGTCAGACAGCGTGTTGGGGATTCCCCATTACGTGAGCACAGATAAGAGGCAGGGCCGTCTTCCTCTGAGGAAACTGAACAGGTCAAACATTCACTGCCCCTGACATCTGGCAGCCTGGGCAAGGGCATGTGATCGAGCCCCACCCAACCTGGGACTCCTGACTGTCCTTGGATTTGGAGCTAGTGTTGCCAAGAGGCAAGGGACAGTTTCCGATTCATTCTGATGGTAACTGCTGTAGCATCTAGTGGTCTGTGGCAGTGACGACGGGCACAGTATCTGTAACCAGGGCTGGGGAGAGCGCATAGTGTCCCACGGGGATGATAAAGATACCTGACTACTGTCGTTCTGTAGTTTGAGCTTCTCTGGAACTCTGACCCCTGGTTACCCTGTTTCAGGTCTGTTTTCAAAGCCTGGTTTGACAATTTTCCCGTCAATGCCCATCAGTGAATTTCTTTTCTCCTTAGATTAAGGAGAATTGGTTTCTGCCGATTGCAACTAAAAGTCCTGTTAATACAATGCCTTGAAATCGTAGGCATGCAGTAAATATCTGCTGAATAAGTGTTTGATCTTCTGCACCTAACTTAAAATTGCTCAGTAAGAAGTGCCATGCGTTTCCACCACGGATGCCGTGGTCTAATGGAAAGTCCTTTTTGTTGTTGTTGCTAATTGACAACTTTTCTTGGAGTTTTGGAAAGGCAAAGAAACAAGATGTGGACGGCTGAACTGTCATTCTAATATAACTGGAATGACTATGTTGACTCAAGTATTAAGTCAGTTTCCTTCTAAAAGTGGCATATGGGAATTATTACTCATGAGGAAGTATTCTTCTTTAGATTCTCTTATATTTAATGAAGCTCCACATCAATCCACCTACCATTTTCCTTATTTTAAAAAGTTGTTATAGAAATCCATAAACTCCTAGTTTTAAGATGTGCTTTCCCAATAAAACAAGGACAGCATTTGTCATTTGCTACTAGAATAAAGAACTCATGTTTCACTTTTCAAAACTTCTGAAGGTAATTCAATTCCTCCCTCCCCTTTAGTGCTTTTAAATGAAAGTCAACTGCTGTCTTTGAAGAGACTTAAAGAAATTATTAGAACAGCTGGAGTCTCAATCTGCTTTGGCAAAAGCAAAAAAAAAAAAAAATGTGGAATTATCCTACACTGTTTTTTTAATCCTGCACTGTTTTATTTTACATTTTATTGATTTTAAACTGCTTAAGGGGCCATCTGCTGGTGCTCCTGAAAAGAAACCAACTTTCTGTCTACAGACAGCTCCAGACCCAAAGAGAAGACCAGTGTGAACTCAGCCCGGGAGAGTGTGAGGTCAGCTGACAAAAAAAATGGAGAAGTCACCAGATGAGAAATAAGGTAATTTAAAAAGGTCCGTATATCTGGGGTTAACCCTATCAGGTTCTTTTAATAACCCTGCATATCTATACTCTCCCTCTACCCCCAGTTAGTCTCCTGCAAGTCCTCTCAAGCTTTAATATGAACACCAGTTACCTGATGATCTTGTTTTGATGCAAATTTGGACTAAGAAGGTGAATAATCAGGCTCTGGGTCACCATAACATCTCTCACTTGGATGTTCACAGCGTCTTTCTAACTGGTCTCCCTGCATCTAGGCTTGATGTTATTCTCAACTGATTCTTAAGAGAGAGGGCAGAAAATGTTCATATAAAAGCTAATCTGGACTCTGTCATACTCCCCTAAAGCAACTGGGGTTAAATAATTTCCTAAAGGCCACTAAGGTAGTAGGGGTGGAGGAGAACCTGGGTCTTGGGTCTGTCGGACTGCAAAACCTGCACCACTTTTGCTACATTTCATCAAGTGTCCCCAGAGTTACAAAATAGTCTCGAGAAATGCCGGTCTTTTGGGGGGAATGAAATGAGACTTTGTCATGGTTTAAATATTTTTAAAAGTCATACTGCTTAAGAATTAGAAATACAAGGAATACAAGGAGCCTAGTGCCATGGTGTTTTAAGTAGGACATGGACTACCATGAACACACATTCTGGATGAGAAGTGATAGTTGTGATCATTTCCTGTGCCTGCTGTAATAAATGACCACAAACTGGGTTGCTTAACACAACAGGAATTCATTTGCTACCATTTTGGGAAGCCAGTAGTTTAAAGTCAAGGTGTCAGGCAGAGCCGAAAGTTCTAGGGGAGAACCCTTGCCTCCTACAGCTGATGGTGGTGCCAGATGTTGCTTGGCATAATTCCAGTCTCTGCCTTCATCATCAAACGAGCTCCTCCTTTTGTCCCTATATCTGTGTCTTCTCATCTGTTTTGTATGAGGATGTCATCAGATCTAGAGTCCACCCAGGCATCCCAGGATAGTTTCATCTTGAGACCCTGACCTTAATTATATCTTCAAAATCCCCATTAGGCTCTGGATATGGATTGAGTGTGTCCCGCCTGCAAAGGTTCACGCGTTGGGAGCTTGGTCCTCAGTGTTGCAATGTTAAGAGGTGAGGCCTAGTGGCAGGCCCACACTGGCCTCTACCCATTCTGGCTTCCCTTCTCACAGTGTGATCTCTCCCTCTTGCACACACTCTGATCAGGATGCCATCTTCTGTGATGTGACCCAGCCAAAGATACTGTAACCAAAACCCGAATTAATGAGGACACACAATATTGACATCAATTCTTCAAAATCATAAGGTAAATAAACCTCTTTTCTTTATAAAGCTCTCAGTCTCAGGTTTTTGCTTATAAACTGACTAATTTTCTTTTTCCAAATAAGATCGCACAGGCTCTGGAGGTTAGGAAGTGGACCCATCTTTTAGGAGTAGGCACCACTCAGCCCACTGCAGTTGGTGGCATAAAATCGAGGGATTCACAGTCCTCCCGTGACCACTGTGTTGACCACATTTGGGTCTCAACTCTTCTTGTGAATCCTGGGCTTTCTCAAATGCCTCAGTCCCTACCGAGAAGAAATAGAAAGTCAAATTAGTATTTATAAACCCTTACACCAAAGTATTATAAGGCATATCCAACACATTTATATTTAGACAAGTGTACACTTATCTCTCACTCCAGATAGCCACAGGCATGACACTCAAAATATTTCACAACTGATCTAGTGCAGGCACCAACCCATCGGAATGGACCCTGCACCCCATCAGAATGCTACCCACTATAACTAACAGGCGCTTCTGTACTGTGCCTACTGAAAGAGTACCAGTAACAATTTATTACTTACTCCCTCACATTTAAGGAGAATCTGGGTTTTCAGGGTATTTTCATATTATTCATGTGGGTTAATTTTATGAGTCAACTTGACCGGGACACGGGGTGTCCAGATTAAACATTATTTCTGAATATGTCCCTGAGAGTGTTTTCTGGATAAAATTAGCTCTTGAATCAGGAGCCTGAATAAGGCACAATGCCCTCTCCATGGGGCTGGCAGACAGGAAGGGCGGATTTATGCACTTTACATCAAACTATATCTTCATAAATTTAAAAAATACAAAGATTTTAAAAGGCAAGAAGAATGAGTTAAAAGCAGAAAAATGATCTGTAATGTCTAATAATTTTAAAGGCGAGCACAAGAAACACCTGACTTGACAGTGTGGAGAAAAACTTGGGGGCTTTTGTTGACCACAAGTTCCATGTGAGTCAGCCGAGTGGCATGGAGATTGGAGAAGTTTGTGTAATTTAAGCTGTTTTAGCAAAGTCTCTGTTATATTTCATCTTGTTGGCTCCAGCCCCTTATTTTCAAGTCTGTTTGACTCTTAATTCCATCATGTGGAGTGAAACGGGGTTGTAGAGAGAAGTCTTAGCTAGGAAAATAAAGCTTTGGATCTTTAAATGAAGACAGTATTTTTAAACACTAAACAAAAGTCCGATAAGTTGTTTTCTTAATAAATGGGCTTAGATTTTGAGACAAGATGTAACATTCTCCAAAAATTGTTGTGAAATTTAAGAGGATCCTTAGGCCAAGAGCTAAGATGGTAAGAAGAAAAGTAACCCTGCCATATATGGAGGAGCTTGAGACGAAAAACTAAGGAAGGACATAGAAGGGATTTTATTGTGAATATGGGAAGAGGGCATGTTTATGCACTCATGAAACCAGAGCTGAACCTACAGTAGGTGTGGGGGTGAACTCAATTGGAGTTTTGTGTTAAGAAGAAAACTTGTAATACCCAGAGTCCTGCAAAAGAAAGAGCGCTAACCCTCCTGGGAAGAGTTTAAGCAGTTGCTGAATGGACATAGTTAGTGCCGAGAAGACTCCTGCCGGATAGTACCTCTTTCCAGATGTGAAGACATAAAGAATGGCACCAACGGGAAAACAGGTGGGATCTCAAAAAGAACAAGACAGGAAGCATGCTTGATGTTTGATGATGACTATTTATCTACAGTCTCTTAAATATGGCCAGTGGGAATGCTTCTCATTTTTAACTAGAAGTGGGCCAAGAAATATGTGTAAGGTTGCTGCAACTTTCCCAAGGTGCCGTCTCTGAAATGGAACTGGGGCTAACTCCCAAAGTTATGTTTTCAGAAGAAAGAGGCCAGCTCCAAGTACTATATAGATTCTTGAGTGCATTTATGGGACTGCCCATTACAAAATCTTGCCTCTGTCAAGGTGAATAGAAAAGACCTTACTATAACGCTTTTTAAAAATCTTTTTTCAGGCTGGGGGATACAGTTCAACAGCAAAACATTTGCCTAGCATGCATGAGGCCTTGGGTTTAATCCCCAACACTGCTAAAAAATAAATTTAAAAACCCATCCCTTTCAAGCACACTTTCTTTACCCCTCCGAAATTGAAATGTAGCTATGTGGAGAACTCACCAAATTTTTATGCTTATGATAAAGCTTTCAGTTTAATTGTGTCTAGTTTAGTAGAGTTGACATCAAATATAAAAGATTATGAAGTACGTGTTGGTCAATATGACCCTGTCCAGAATTCAATGCTTGTTTTATTCTGTGGTTGAAAAATACTGTCATAAATATCTATGACAATTAAGTACATAAGGTTATTTAAAGTATGTTCTCTTACTAAAGCAGCACAAAAATATTGCATAAACAAATAAAACTTGAAGCAAGCATATTTCATTTGCTTAAAGAACACTAAGGAAGCCACAGAAGCAAAGCTTCTGATGGCCAGCAGGCAATTGGGACATAATTTTAGGGGTGACATGACATGACAAATTGCTTCTGTACACAAATTTAACTCCAGAATATAATTCATCTCCAGCTCCCATCACATTATTCCTCCTTACTGATGTGTGCGCCCATTCTGTTATCTCTGGAGTCTGAGCAGGACCAAGTTTTCTTTGCAACTCTTGCTCCAAAGATGCAAAACCACTAGAGAAAAAGAAACCCACATAACATTGCCTTTTTTGGCATACCTTTCAAAATGTAAATGTTATTCTTTTGGTCCCACGAATATGTTTACTTTGAGAGTCCAGGGTTAGCCATAGAATAATAATCTTTTGAGCAAGGCACCCTGAGTAGAGACAAGAGCAGCCATAGTTTGATTCCATGGAAGTTTGATCTGAAGTTCTACAAGGGGATACATGTGAATTTGGGATATTCACTTAACTCTTGAGTTTCCTCATATGTAAAATGTAGATAATAATATACTATCCTAAGGTTGTTATGAACTAGGTGATATCATGAATGTTACAGGTCTAACCACACAGTTTGTGTCTGTGGGGTCTGGTATTATTATCAACCACTTAACTAAATTTATTTACCAAACACTGTTCTAGGGACTGAGAATAGGGCAGTGAATATAATAACTGGAATCCTTTTACTTATAGATCTTAAATCTGTGGGGAAACAAAATTAAATAAGTAAAAGAGGTAGTCCGTCAGAAGGTGATTGCTGCTATGGAGAACAGTGTAACAGGGAAGGAGTACAGGAGTGCAGGCATTGGACACAGGGGTAGCAGCTTTCGAGGGAGTGTCACAGAAGATGGTCACGCACAGGCAAAGACCTAAAGGTCTTTGAGATGAAGCAATCAGATGAGAATGAGCCAGGAATCATGAGGACATCTAGGGGAAGTGTCTTAGGCAGCGAGAATAACAACCCAGGAATTCTGAAGTAGAAGCATGCTAGAGCAGGGCTGTTCGGAAAAGCAGGTGGCCGATGTGGAGTGGTATGAGTGACAGGGAGAGTCACAGGAAATGCGGTCAGAGAAGTAATGGGGCCAGATCACGTGAAGCCAGATCATATAGTAGTGCTGATATGCAGCAAGTGCTGAATATGTAAAAGAGCGTTATTATAACATCACCATCACCACCTCCGGCTTAGATATTTAAAGGCTCACCCATTGCCAGGTTGAAAATACACTACAGAGGAGACAAGTGTTGCAGCAGGAAGACACTGAAGCAACCAGATGAGAGATGGTGATGGGACGTTGAATAGCATGGCCAGACTCTGTGTATATTTGAAGTTAGAACTAAAAGGATTTCTTTATTTAGGTGTAAGTTATAAAGAGAAGTCAATGATGACACTAAAGTTTTGGTGCCTGAGCAGTGGGAAGGATAAGATATCTAGTTATAATTGCAGATGAAGGCTACACAGGTGGAGCAGATTCTGGAGATCAGCGGCTAGTTTTGAAATGTGTTACATTTGACATATCTATTGCAGATCCATGTGGACAGGCAAAGTAGGCAGTTGGATGTGTAAGTCTAGAGTTCAGGGGAGAGGACCATGCTGCTGTTATCGCTGTATGGATTGTATATAGAGCCATGAACTGGACAAGATCACAAAAGAGAAAGGATAGATAAAGAGAATAAAGAAGCAAGCCCTGGTGCACTCCAAGGGAGAGGATAAACAAATGTACTGGGGTGGAAAGTAGATTTGTGGTTGTTGGGAGCTGAGAGTGGAGGCAGGGTGAGGAGCTACTTTGGGGGGATGTTGACAATGTTCTGGAATTAGTGGTGATGATTGCACAACTCTGTGAGTCCACAAAAAATTATTGAATTAAATATTGCAAAAAGGGTAGGTTTTGCGGTATGTGAATTTGCCTCAATTTAAAAAAGAAGTCAGGGAGAAGAGGAAGAATTAAAGAAAACCAAGAAGGAGTGGTCAGGGAGATGGGAAGACAACCAGGAATGGACTGTCCTGGAAGGCAAGTGAAAGCAAGGTTTAATAGGAGTGTATCAAATGCTGCAGGACTTCACCCAGGTGGAGGGCGAAGGCTGCATCATTGGATTTAGTGCCATGAAGATCACTGATGTCCTTGACAAGAGTCGTTTAGGTAGAATGGTGGAGGTGCCAACCTCAATGGAGTGAGATGGGGAGAAATACTTTCTGGTTACTGTTGGAGAATGTTAGGGAGTCAATTCCTTCTTTTGAAAACTGGTGAACAATCAAGTATGTCTCCTATCTGTAGAACTGGTACTATTATAAAATTTTATACCATTGGTTTTATTGTTTATTTTTCTTCTCTTTAAAATAAAAAAGCAAAAAATAAAAAATAGAAGTAAAAATTGACCAAAACAAACAAGCAAAATAGATATAAATGTAAATGAGTAAATGAGAGGATATTTCTCTTTGTAGAATATTCTACCCAAGCCTGGCGTGGTGGCGCACGCCTGTAATCCCAGCACTCGGGAGGCTGAGGTAGGAGGATCATTGTGAGTTTGAGACCAGCCTGGGCTACAAAGTGAGCTCAAGGCCAGCCTGAACTGCATAGCAAGACCCTG